ATGGCAGAGTAAAGAGCATAGCCTAGGCCTCCCCACTCCTCTAGTAATGCTCTTTCATCTTCTCCAAACTGGCTGTAAGCCTTGTTCATCCTGAGCCCCATATCTAGCCCAACCTAGTCCCTGGAAACAGGGAAGTGGCCCTTAGAAATCTCTCTCCAGTGCCACCATCAGAGGCCAACTGCTGTCTTCTACTCTCCTTCAGCCTGTGCTCCTCTCCCTCCCTGCCTGACAGGCAGAAGGTACTGTGCCTCTGGATATCCCCACAGTGCCCTGAGCTTCATCTCTTGCTGACTGCTTGAATATATCACAGTGACACTGTGTGTGTCTCCACCAGCAGACTATTGCTCCTTGATGCTCTGGGTCACCTCCATCTAGCATGGCATATATCTGGTGCTCAATAAATGTGTATTGTACAGAATTGACTGAACTTCTCTTACTGGCAGCCCCCTCTATCCAAGTCACCTACCTCTTTTCGAAGGTGGGTGATGATCTTGTGTGGAACTGAGATGACCTCTCCATGACTGGTCCGAAGGGCAGGCAGAGTTCCTGATATTGAGAGAGAAGTACACCTACCAACCAGACCCTTAGCTGCCTAGTCATACATAGTTGCAACACATTCCTACCTATCTCCTGCTTCTCCCCTTGTACATACCCTTCCTTACCCCCAAGGGACACTGGGTACCTGAAGGGCTCCGCCAGGGGTTGCTGATCTTGTGTACCTTCAGTGGTGCACCAGTAAATCTGGCATAGGTCTGCAGGGAAGGAAGCAGAAGTCAGAAAAGCAGGGCCATGGCCCCCACAGCAGTATCAAGAAGAGAAATAACATTTATTGAATACCTTATGTGCCATTCCCTATACTTAGTATCTTAGTCTTGAAAAAAAAAGGGGGAGTCACTACCATTTCTATTTGCAAATGGGCAACACGGGGCTCAGAGAGATTATAGACATGTCCATGATTACAGGTCAGCCAGGAAAATCCTTTCCTCTTTCTCCTCCCTTGCCATCTACCTGGTGGACATCTATCCTCAGAAGCTTTTCCTAACCAGTATCCCTCTTCTTGGAAGCACTGACCATGCCCTTCTCTTTGGCAGTATCTATGATCTGTTCCTACTTTAACTTATACGTGAATATTTTACTATATTTATTTGCTTACCTATCTGCCTTTCTGTAAACTCAAAGGGAGGGAACATATTTTATTCATCTTTGCATGGCAATATTTAGTATTTGGAAGAAATCTAATAGATGCTCTTTAAAGCAAGGAGTCAATGAATAAATCAAGCAAACGAAGTCTGTCTGATTGCTAAGCTCTTTCTACAAAGCCTGGCTGTGAGTCGTTTGGTCCAACAAACAATAGGCTCAGTAAATGCTGTTAAGTGAGGAGGAAGAGGAAAAGGGGGCTGAGGAGAAGGCAGGAATTCCAAGCTAGAGTGGGTCGCTGAGAGAGTCCTGCCTAGTAAACCTGCGAATGGAGAAAAAACGCCCAAAGAGAAAGGATCTCTGCAAGGTCACACAGCCAGTGAGTGGATGAGCAAGGACTAGAACCCATCACCTGAACTCTCAACCAGGCTTCTTTTCATTGCTGCATTAAGCCTAGAAATCTACAGCATAGGGCATTGAGCCCACGTCTTTGACTGCCTCAGTTTCCCCCACTGCGCCCGTGCTGAGTAGCCCGGCAAAGTTTGGATGCCTGGCTAGTTCGGCCCCCTCCCCAGTCATCAGGGCACAACAGAGTGCGCCAGCGCCACCCCTCACCAGCACGGCAAGGCTGTCCAGGTCCACTGACGGCAGCCCCCAACCCCCTGACCAGCAGAACAGCTCCATGGGCGCCGCCATCTTGCCCGCCCTCTGTCCCGGAAACACTTCCTTGTGTGCTCCTGCCCTGCCCTGCACGGACCCGCCCCCCACCACCGCCCCTCCGGTAGTTGCGGTCAGGGGGCCGGGGGAGGTCCCCGGGGAGGCCAGGCTTCTTCTGGTCCGACTGGCAGCTGAACTGCGGGGGACTGGGCC